ACCTGTCCTACTCTCTGAAAGGAGATTGGCTGTGAGGCTAGACAGACAGCCGTGAGGCCCCGCAGCTCCTGGCCCGAGCTTATCAGGCTCTTGCTGGCAAAAGAGAGGAGGGGCAGGAGGCTGCCTCTGGAAAGCAGTGTTTCTCTTTGGACCCCTTTGAGAGCCGAGTCAGTGCCTGGGTAAACGTTGTGAGAGGGCACCTGCTTAAGTCGCCAATATCCCTGTGATGGGATGCTTAAGTCACCAACGTCCCTGTGATGGGACGCTGACATTGTCATGCGGGACATTCATGGTATAAATTCACTCTGAACCTGGCCTCCTCAGAAAGGGAAGGGAGGTGTCCTCTCTAAGCCATCTGCCCAGGGCTCCCAAGGACCGGACGTGTGGGAAGGGGGCCAGGCTGCGGCTCAGGGCGAATGGATGTGGTGAGGCCGGCACGGGAACCCCGAGCAGCTGCCAGAATGAGCAGGTGAGAGTAGCCCACCTCCCCTGGCTACGTCAGTGGGAGCCTAGAAACAAACGCTCCCTGGGGCCCTGCCTCTGGCCCCTCTCCACCTCCTGCTGCGAGGGACTGTGACAGCCAGAATCGGGGCCTGGGGCCTGGTCTCCCGCTGTTACCCCAGGTGGTCTTGTGCCCAGGTGCGCTCGGACAGGGATCTCATCACCTCCCCTGCAGCTGATGTGGCCGTTAGCCAATTCTTTCTTCTGTTGTAATTTGTCTCTGCAACTCGTACCTGTTGGTTCCTCTGGGCCGTAGGCTCCAGGACAGGGGTGGCATTTACTCCATGCGCTGTCCCCAGGTGCCCAGAAGAGCGCCGACACACGTGAGCACTCGGAACAGCTTTGTCAAATGGGTGGATGGGTGGGTGGTCCCAGCTGAGCCAGGAGTTACTCAGAACAAGCGCAAGTTTTTCACGTTGGCTGTTACTTCCACTGTTTAAAGAGAAGGCTCATGTCCTGTCTCACCACCACGCAGCTGCACCTTCCAAGGCCGACAGCCACTCCTCATGTGACCCGTGTCAGGCCCTCACCTCCTTCCCTGCCACAGAATCCTCCCCGGCAGCTCACTGCCTCTCCTCTCCCCTCGGAGTTTGAGTTCCAGTGCCAGTGCAGGCGGATGTGGATTATGACCCACGTCCGGTCACGTGGGCTCTCCGAGCGTGGCCTGTGAGGGTCAGAGAGAAGCCAAGCCATCCCTGCCCTCTGGGACTGCAGGCCCTGGTCAGCAAGATGTCGGGGAGCTCTCAGCGTTCTGTCCTCTGTCCATCCACACCTCCCACATGGCCTCGGCCGGGTGGGCGCAAGTGTCTGTGGCAGGGGCCGGCCGAGTCTCGGGCGTCAACGTGTGCGCTCAGAACTCTGCTGTCTGTCATGCTTCCTGACAGAGTCTGTCGCTCACAGACTGTCACCCTCATTTCATCTTGATTTATTAACAGGCCTAATGGGTTTGGGGAGCAGCTGTCTCCTAGGGATGGGACCATCAATCTAGGAGATGGCTGTGGAGCTCTGCTCCTCCAGCAGCCTTGGGAGGGAGGAGCCAGGGATGGGGGGGTGTGGTCACAAGGGCAGAGGCCAGATAGCCAGATGGGTGCCTCCAGTCCTGGGCTCCTTGAGATCAGAGCCACCTACACCAGGCTCTCCTGCTTCCTTCCTGCCCCTTCCCTCTCTGTCCCTCCATTACAACATGAAGTCTGGGGCATCACTCGTTTCTTTTGAACTTGCCAACTTGGAGACCAGGCCAGAACATTTGCCCTTCCCTCTCCACTCCTGAGGACATAGCCCAGCACCTACCCTGTGTCCTCACAGGGATTGGGGTGGGGGGCGCCGAAAGTCCCTGGTGGGACTTTCCCACTTCCACCGCCTCTTCCTAAGCTTTGCCGGGGCTCGTCCGCCCAGAGCCGGCCCCCACTGTGTTCCAAGCCCAGGCTCTGTTCCTGGGGCGTCTGCTCCGGGGCATCGTGTGCCCTCCCTCCAGAGAGCTTCTCAGCTCTGAGCGGTGTGCTCATCACATGCTGCTCCGATGAATGGCCCTCTTCCCCCTGACTGGAGCCTGCGTGTCCCGAGAGCAGGGTGGGGCATGGCACCCAGCAGACGCTTGGTCAGGATCCAGGGGGCGAATGAAGCCCCCCCGGCTTTCCCGTGCTGGCAAGTCACATAGCTGTGTGAGCTTCCAACAGAGCAGTGCCGGTGTGGCCGATGGGTGTGGGGCTCACCCAGGGTGGCCCCCAGGTGAGACTGTCCCCTCCAGGGCCTTATCCAGGAGCTAAAGCCCCACAATGTGGCCACTTTTTAATTTTCCCAGAATTGCCTCCCAAGAGCCTCTTGTGTCTTCATTCCTGGATAGGACCCAGCATCTAGCCCCTGGAGGTAGATCTGATTTTTGGAAATAGACTTGAGTAAGGCAGCAAGGTGGGGTGACAGCATGGTGATGCAAACCTAATTATAGCTAGAAGATTATAAGATAAGTTTTCTTATCTCCCACAGCCATGCCTTTGTAACCATCCTGAAAGTTCTAGAAAACGCCCTATGCCGTCATTGACGTAAAGACCCAGCCCCTGAGACAGTGACTCCAGACTGTCAGTAGCTGTACTGTTGGGGCGGAGGCTGCCCACGAATTCGTGTGCTTTAAAAACTCCCGTCTCTTGCCTTTGGGGAACCTCCAGAAATATGTGTATTCGCAGGAAGGACAACACCTTCCCCCCGTCAGGGCTGTCCCGACCGCTCACCCTGGAACCAGCAAGCCTGCCTGTCCTACACCTTGCCGGAGATGTAGCATTGAGGACGAAGGGGGGCAGAGAGGCACTACCAGCATCCAGGGCTGGAGGCAGCAGTGACTGGGAGTTGCCAGCCCTCTGCCTCCTCCCCCACCGCGCCCAGGGCTCGGAGCCCGAGCCACAGGGCCAGCTTCTCCACTAGCCTGTTTCCAAGCTAGTCACACCAGGTGGCGAGGTGACACCTGAAATGGTGGTGGCAGAGCAGGTTTTGAATCTTGCCTTACAGCGGCTGACCCCGGGGCGTAACCTATGGCAGAACCGCCTGCCGCAGCCTCTTTTTTTTTTTTTTTAAATTTTATTTAAATCCAAGTTAGTTAACATAGAGCAGAATAATGATTCAAGTTAGTTAACATAGAGCAGAATAATGATTTCAGGAGTAGAATGTAGTGATTCAGCACTTACATGTAACACCCAGTGCTCATCCCAACAAGTGACCTTAATGCCTGTCTTCCATTTAGCCCATCCCCCACCCAACACCCCTCCAGCAACCCTGTTTGTTCTCTGTATTTAAGAGTCTCCTCCGTTTTGTCCCCCTCCCTGTTTTTCCCTTATTTTTCCCTCCCTTCCCCTGTGTTCGTCTTTTTTGTTTCTTAAATTCCACATATGAGTGAAATCATATTTATTTTTCTCTGACTGATTTCGCTTAGCATAATACACTCTAGTTCCATCCATGTTGTTTCAAACGGCAAGATTTCATTCTTTTTGATCACCGACTAATATTCCACAATGTATACACCACATCTTCTTTATCCATTCACCAGTCGATGAGCATTTGGGTTGCTTCCATAGTTTGGAATAGCTAATCACCAGGCGGCCCCAGGCCCCCACCCCCACCCCA